CAGTTCTTATATGCCTCTTTGCTTACATAGTATAACAAATATGTCGCAAACGAACTGTTTACATTATAACAAACATAATTAATCTTCTATAGTCTGATGTCTAGAGCATGATATGAACTTCAGACTCATTATCTATGAAGGTCCGTGATAGGTTATCATGACCCTGGAAGGACTGCGAGTTGATAAACATGCCAGTGTTCTTTGACCAGAGATAGTAAAGGGATACGGATATTGTAATATTAAAGTCTAAGAATTACATATTAATGATAGCTACTTCCAGAATTCTTTAACAAATATATACTTTTTAATATTATTTAAAAAAGGTACTTGACTCAAAAAAAGCCTTAGAAATTTGATTCACTTGCTCTAGTGAGGGTAGGCAAGTTTTAACATCTAAGGCCACTAGATTTGTGGGTATTTTTATACAGTAAGTTTTTTTTTCTGATTGTTGTAAAACAAATTGCATAGTAATATTATTTAACAAATTATGAGTCAATTATATAAGTTCGATTAAATAAAACTGTAAAGAACACTGCAAAAAATCTATACTGACATTTAATAGCAATGTTGTTTTGCTTGTTGGGTTTGAAGTATCGCAACATTCGCACCTGCCCTTTTTTATCAAACACCCATTTTTTTGCTACATTTAAGTAACGAAAAAATTTGTTTGTTTTTGTTCTTAGCAAACATTAAACAATAATTAGGCTCAAAGCCTGTTTTTAAGGCGTCTTGATATATTAAAATATAGTAGTTATTCAATAGTTATGAACATCAGTTAGACATTATTGTAGTGAAAACAAAGTAAATATGTATGCTACATGTATGTTTTATTCGTAGACTCATAAGTATAACATTTAATGAACATCGTTAGTCTTAAACAAATTAAATCATTGCAGCATTCCATTGCTAATATCTAACTGCGTCAAGTGGGTCAAACAGCAGATCGCGTGATGTCTGTTACTGTGGACTTTGAATCCGTGAATCAAGTAATTGCTGATAGTGAAGTTTTTAAGATTACAAGCAAGTCATCAAAATTATACAATTTCAACAGTTGTTAACAGCAGCGACTGTGCTTACCCTTAAAATAAGAAGTGTGTGAAAGTTTCACATATACTGTACAGTGAAGCCTGAATTGGGATCCCAAGGGACCAAGATATATGAACCAATCATTGAGGGTTTCCTATAATCCAGTCTTCTAATTAGGCAAGTTTAAAATTTTAGTTGTCTCAGTTACAGAGGCTGCCCTGTTTGTTTGTAAATAAACATGTTAAAACCTGACTAATTTGTCTCACTTATACCGGTAACTAAGCTACTTCAATTATAACGGTAAATGTTGAAAGTCTTAAAATACCAATCTCATTTAGCCAGATTTAAAATGTTTCAATATCAGGGACTTCATTGCAACTGTCTACCAAACAGCTAGGTTGATGATATCTTTAAATTTCAAATTCACATCTCACAAGTCGAGTATGGTCACATCATATATTTTTTGGTGACCTTCCACAATTCCTTGTGACCACAAGGAATTGTGGTAATGTCAATTAAGAGATCTCAAATATATAACAAAAGAGGAAAGTCGAAGTCAAAAATCATTTATTCATGTTCGACCAACTATGTACACGTCTGAACGTCACAAAATTAAAGAAACAACCTAGTTTTCCTCTTTTGTTACATATTCTTCATTTTCTAATTACTTGACACGCCTCAAGGTATCACAACAAGGTCATTGAAGCAAGCAAAGCTGCATTAATCAAATCATGCCAAATTTACTTTGACCTTAATAAAATGTGAATTTTGGTAAAAATTGTGGTATACACAGGTATGTAATGTGGTAATATTCACACACATATATATACCTATGTGGACACAGAATATTCAGAATTAAAACCTTTTAAAAGCCATTTAGCTTTTATTGCACATTATGATAGAGAAGAAAAATATACATCAATACACCATATTATATAACCTTGAAACGAATCTCTATACTTAATAAATATATTTTTTTACAGGACACATAAATCATACTATCCTGATTATAAAATTGATAAATATGACAATGTGATTTTACTTTTATCATCTACCCTTTAGACAATTATTCAATATTAATAAATAATGGAAATATCTGAAGTCACTAGTTAAAGAGAATTTTATTTTCAAAATTTTGTTTTTTTTGTTGCAAAAAAGAGTGCATGCTTAGGTAAAAACAATACTAAAATCTTCAAATTTATGTTTCTCCAAAGGTTTGTGTGGTTGTAAGAGTTGTTTAATTTGGTAAGGAACTTATGAAAAATAGAATTTTTGAACTATTTGTAAAGAAACAGTACAGAAAAGATATTACTTACAAAATCTCTTAAAAGAAATGGAGTAAATGCATAAATTTGGTGCTTATGTAGTAGAAAGTGCATTTACTTGTATGAAGCATGTGTTTGTAAATGAAATAGTGTATACTTCTATGACTAATATAATTATCAAATAAAAAGTTAACAGCATAAAGTAATTAATTGTTAATTAAAATTGTTTGAAAAAGTACTACCTACCACAAATATCTTAGTTATATTAAATATATATTTAATAAGTAAAAGCTAAGAATTTAGCATTAGGATTTATATTGAATCCACTATTACAATTAATAAATGCGTTTTACTAATCGTTAAAATAAGGTGGGTGGAAAAAGAAAGATATAGTCAGTACTGGGTGAAATCCGCTATTTCCTAATGTAATTCAATATTATAAAATACAAAAACCTTTAAAAACATAAATCTAGAAAAGTTCGTATATAAAAATATTTTTAAATGGTATAAAACTAAGAGAATTTAATAGAAAAAACGAATGAAGTATAGGTTAGAAAATGCGACACATCTAACATTGTGTATTAAAATATATTGATACACAGTTATGGCTACTTACTTGCTATCAGCCGCGTTATATTTACGATCACTGGAGAAATAACACTTGTAAATTACCACTGAATTTTCGAAAAATATATATAAGTAAACACTGGCACAATCTGTCTTTCCGTGACTAAAAATTCAACCAACTCGTATTCGTATATAACTAGTGAGGTGCAACAAACAGCCCGTTGTAGATACAGCGAAAGACTCTGTCAAAAACTATAAACGTATTTTTCATTATTTAAACAGGCCACTAACCTGTTTAATAAAGAAAAATGCGTTATTTAATAAATTTAAAAACGCTTTTCTGCATAGATAAATTGTTATTTTACAAGGATATTTTTTGAGTAAAATTATAATGCAATCGATTCATCTCTGTAAGATACGAAACATCGAGTTGCAGCGGTTGACTCGCACTAAGATCAGGGATGAGAAACAGCCAATCAGAATGCAGTGGGACCGTGAAAAAGGTGGCGTGATCCTACGTCACACGTATCCATATCTATCTTATTTGTACCCATATTTCATACTATTGCTATTTTGAAGTGATGCTGCAAGTTTTAGGGTAACTTTTTAAGATCAAAATAATAATTAAGATGTCGCCTTCAATAAAGTTATAATCCTTTTGTGCTTATTGAACATTCTTTATTCGGTTTGAACGAGTGAAACCAAATAAAAATAATACGCCTAATATTTAAAAAATGAAATGCTATATATTTATTATTAGGTAAAAAAATATATTTATTTTTTTACTATCACACACTACTCTATTTCGTACAATTAAAAAAGTAGGTCTTTCACTCTATGCGAAGATCTCTCACGTCATTTTGCTCCCAATATTATGCTTAATTTGTATGTTTTTGACAATATTTATTTTAATATAATTTGAATGTTTTTTTAAATACTTATCCTTATTTGAATTGCAGTAAATATTTAAATAAAACATGTTTAAAAACTACCTTGATATTCGTGATGTTGTTTCCCTCTTAGTTTACTGTCCTGCAGAAAAAGCATATCTGCTAAGTAAGGAATCTAATGGAGAATACTGGATACCTTTTTGCAAAACTGAAAAGAATTGTTGGAAATTGTCTGCGCACAAATTGAACTTTGAGGTGGATATTAATATGGTCTATTTTTGTTATTCACCATTTAGGCCATGCCTATATTTGCTGATTAAATACATACAAATATGCATGCGTTAATAGAATTGAAAACGGTAAGGTAGGAAGTAGAATACAATAAGCGAGAAGAGGTTCTTGACGTTTCGCCATCACGAGCGGGCGGCATCATCACGACAGCTCCTCGCCTTGCTTACGTCGGCCGAACAGCCCGAAAAACAATGATAAGCTTGTTGTATAATTCACAATAATAAATTCTTGGTGCATTTTTTTAGTTATTTGGTATGGACTCCTCAGCTCAATGTCATCCACTTCGCGTCTACAAAGTATGGCTGCCGGACCACCCGAGTTCCTGCGTATACAATGCCGTCTATAAAGTCGCAATCAAACCCGATGTCAAGAAGAGAGTGAAACGTAGAGTTGTAATAATTACTTTCATATGCCAGAAATCTACATACTTTATGGGGATCTAGAATCGTTATCCCTAGATCCCATAAATCGAGCGACGAAGAGCAATAAGCAGTAACCGAACTCCTAACGTTTGGTGTACGATGTATATTCATTATTATTGGGCTAAAAATGTTCGATTAAAAAACAATGCCCTAATATTGTAAAATAAAGTATTTAGTACAATCAAGGTTTTTTAAAAATTACATATTGCCAAATCTATCCTAATATTATAAAGGTGAAGAATTTGTTTGTTTGAACGCACTAATCTCAGGAACTACTAGTTCGAATTATTTATTTTTGTGACGATTTGACCATATACCGAACAAAGCTATAGGGCTATATTTAAACATCAGACTGCTATTAATGATATCGAAGGAACAATGGAAAATGTGGACAAACATAAAAACATTAATCTTTGAGAGATTCGTTGCGTGCACTGCGAAAACGGTTCACGATACCAAAACAATATGTAAAAAAATAATCTTATGTAAATAATAATAAAAAAATATAGGGTCTCCGGAACCGTCTGCAGTGGTTCACAATGCTAGAACTGGAAAGACTTCGTGCCCACGCCAGTCTTCGAACTCCGGAGGTGTTAGTCTTCGCTCAGATGGCTATTGGAGACTTACCAAAAGACGTGGGTAGTCTGATCTTACAACTATTAAAAATTTGTGATTATAAAGAGTCATAGCCTAGATGGGGTTTGGGGCACACAAATTTCTGTGTCCGCTTCATTGACCGCCTAATATTTACAGGCAAGATATCACCAGAACCGTAGATTATAATCATGTAGTAAGTATATTAAAAGATATTTATTTTAATCTTTGATTAATCCACTGAACTAAAAATAACTTATTGGGTACACTAGACATTAGTATAAATAGTTCGAAGATTAGATAAGTAAAGTCTCGATCCCACAATTAAAACATTTACAGAGTCTTATGAAATCATTTTATCAAGTTCTACTTATCAAATTGCATTGAATACTCATTGTCTTGTAATATTGAAAAAATAGCGCCTAATTTTATTCTTTGGCAAATCTGTTTCTACAGGACTTTGACGTAGGAATGTTTATTGAAATATGTGAAGATAATGTGCTGATCGGCGTGGACATCGCCGAAGGTGCTGTCACGTTAGCCTCCCCTCACTGTCAGTTATTACAAGCTGCCAATTATAACAGAGAAGGTACATTACAGTCTCGTACTTAAAAAAATACATTTTTGTTATGTAAAAATTCTGTAAGAAAAAAACACCAACTTATTAGTTTAATGTCCCGTGTAAATTTTTTTAATGATAGAGAAGGATAGACAAGATTGGTCTTCATTTGATAGTAAGTGAAATATGCCAGCCTATAGCATCTAAACAAGAGCGCTATTGATCCATCTTTATTTTGGAAATCCACAGATTGAAATCAAAACGTGAGTAAACTTCATGGCTTTTTCATGTGTGGACGGGTCGTGAAACGCGCGAAATTTCGATATTTTCATTGTAGGTTGCAAAATTATCCGACGTAAGAGTAGCAACTCTTGTCCTTTGTAGGTTGAACTAACATTAGGCGCAATGAATATACACAATCGTAATATCAAGTAGGTATGCAACTGTCTAGTAATAAACTACTTCATGGGTACGACAGATCAGATTCGACTGTACAGCGAGTTCATACTTATGGTGTATCCAGCTTTGTACATGAGTCCAAATATTTTTACACAGTTTATGCAAGACCTTGGATGGCAAAAGACACAATGTTCTAGTCTTTTTAGGTAAGTTTCACGTCTTCTCCAACTGTAACTGTACGTAACATATTACCTACCGCTTTTGTAGTTCTTATCTTGTTATAAATAATACATGTTTTACAGTTTAAAATAGTTTAAAATTAACGGTTTAAAACGCGAAATACAGTCAAACTGGTTTACAAATTATTTTTAATTACACCCCGATATTTCGGCACCTTGCAGCGGTCTCCCCGTGACCACGGCTGTGGCTAATACTATATTTAGAGATTTTAAACCGTTAAAGTGTTTTATTTAAATGTGCACTACTCGCGTAATCTACTATGGTTTTAATTATTTACAGAGCAGCAGATGTTTCTCGTAGAGGTGGCTTATCTTTCTTAGACTCGATGTTGTGGTGTGCGGCACTGGAACCGATGACCCAACACCTAGGGTCACCAGCTGAGCTTCGCTGCCGATATATATTCAGGTCACTTGATCATTGAGTTCTAAGATTCCTGCTAGAGAGACGCTAAAAATATTATTTTTTCTTGGATCTTACAGATACTTCGATAGCAACCGCGATCAGAAGCTGGAATACCAGGAGTTTAAATGAATTAATTTTAAGAGGTTACCAAGAAAAAAACCTATTTCTTTTAGGGAGAAAACAGATAAGCACGGGGTTCACAGATGGAAATTCCCCCCCAAGCTATGTACCCGCATCGACCACAATGCGCTGTTAACCCTTATTTGGCTTTGATATTGGGAAATCACGATTGACACGAAACGGATTTACTTACGGCTTTTTCATCTGTGAACGGTAATTCGTGACCCGGACGAGTGTATCATCAGCTCTTTAATAGGTTTCACTGCTAAGGCATTCTAAGAGGTATAAATGTAGGAGGTAGATATCAGACAAATAAATACATTTTCTTCCCAAATGTATTATTATTAACGCTTCTATACATAGCTATGTAATATACAAGTGTGGACTCGTGTGGAAGACAAGCTAAATCATTTGGAGTCTTTGGGGAACGTTTTATTAAATATAGCGATACAATAGCCACCAGCTAAGTTGATAAATTTCGCGCAGGCAGTTAGGTCTTCAACCAAGCTCTCAAGTACCGATTGCTGATTTCGTCCGCGCTGTCGCCGAGTTGTACATTCGTGGTACAAGTTCTCTACTCCGCTCACCGAAGAGTATTGCTGGTTATCTCTTAGATTTACAGTAAGTGAATATTAAGCATAAGTGATAAGTAACTTTTTTAAATGATATACTTTAACGGTTTAAAACGCGATAAATATTAGTTAAACTTTCTCGAAATTATTTTAATTATGCAATGCAGCAGTCGTGGTCACGAGGAGACTAAAGATAGTGGGTGTCTCTGACGTCTAAGTAAGAGCTGCTACAATAGTGCCATATGTTCTGTTAATATATGTAGGTATATCGCGTTTGATTCCGTTAAAGTGTTTTATTTACTTGTGTTACCACAAACAGAATTTAGGTGACTTTTTTATGAGAGACGAGGAGTCTGTCCAAGCGATTCACTTGATGGTAGGAAGGTAGGCACATTTAACATGTAAGCAAGATGTGCTGTCGGCCTATTTTGGCTTTGGATAACTTAAAGAGTGCTGTAAATAATTTGGTAATTTAATTTATTCGCAGTGAACGTGACCGCGAGATGAACGCAGCGACCACTTCAAAATTAATTAATTACCAAGGTATAATGTAAATGATGTATAACTTCTATGAACTTAAGTAGCATAAAAGTTGTACAAGATTATTTTAATTATGTGAATAATGAAGATTTTACGAATAAATGTTTATTAATATATTTAAATAGGATTTCTGTTGTACTCTATACTAATTTACAAAGCTGTTTTTTTGTTTGAACGCGCTAATTTCAGAAACTACGAGTTTAATTACAAAAAACTTTCTTTTTTGTAATTAAACTCTTTTTTTCTTTTGTGTTGGTTAGAGCATTTAATGAGAAAGACTATAGGCTATATAACATCGCCCTGTGACGAAGATACAGCGAGATATGTGAAAAAAAAATGGGGAAATCTGTAAAAACGGTTCAAGATACATGAAAAATATGTATGAAAGAAGGATTCCTCTTTAAATGATCTATAAAAAGTCCGTGAATCTATATGTCTATTTTTTAAGATTAACTTGCAAGAACGACGGGAAGGGTCGCGACCGACGTCGTAGATAACAGCTTAAGTTTATAAAGATTTGTATTTCCAAACACCGTTCGGTTTGGAAATACGAATTTTAATGCCCAAAAATAACAATTCTCGCGGACCAAGTCGCTGACTCAGCTAGTTTGAACATAAAATTGTAACTATTTCGAAAAAGTTTTATTGAGATACCTAATAGCCCTATGTCTGTGATTTGTTTGGCTATGAGCGATTTTCAGTTATGACGTAGTCAGGTTATAATTGTACATATTTGTTATAGTTCCAAGTATACCAGATGTTCAAGATCCACCTCATGGAGTGGAAAGCTCTGTAGCATCTGGGCCGCAGCGTCGTCGTGACTTTTCCATCGCGACCTGTGTTTTGAGGTTGCAAAAGAAACAGCCTCCAGAAATTCTTTCTTTGACGAGTTTTGATGGTTAGACCCTTGTTTTTAACTAAAAGGCCAACGGCACGGAAAGCTGACGATGCCGGTTCAAGTCCTGCCCGAGTCGAAATTTTTTTCAATTTATTTTCGATTTTTAAATTATATAAGTAATTAGTAACGGATTCTTTACCTTACTCATTAGTATATTGTTTGCAACAAATATTTTAAAATTTGGATGAGTGGCATTCTAGCCTATGTTTTTTATATAATTTTCGTGAACCATAGAGATTAAAGTCTCCAAATAATTACGTTCTAACAGAAGATGCAGTGAGCAGTTCAACGACTCGTCTCCTGTCAGCTGCCGTTACTTCGATGGAACTCCTAGGTCCTGCTGCATTGCCCGTGGAAGCTTTCGCTTTGATAAATTACTTCGCCCTGCATATCGAAAATCCAGCCCCGGTATGACTATACTTTACATAATTATATTTTATCCACTTCTATATGATACTATAGACGCATTGTATGTGTATATATATATATATAATACATAATATATATAAATATACATCGCAGTTATGAGGCATGTTGAAAACCAACCCTCATAAAAATATTAACTGATTCACACTCAATAGCCTAGACTTTTACCATAAAAAGTTTTTTATTGATTTCCTCAGGTTTAAAACTGTCTGTAGTTAATGCGAGTAGTACAGATTTAACAGTTTAAAACGCGAATTATTCGGATGCTTTGCAGAAGCAAATTTTGCGTTTCAAACCGTTACATTTAAATGTGTACTAGCGTAACCTACAGACTTATTCCGCCTTACAATCAAGTCAAATGTACAACCAAATTCTCTGTCATAACAAACATTATGAGTGTAATAAATTTGAAGACTACCCTACAGCGACGCACATCCGGTGGAGGTTCCGTGGCGGTTAACAAGCAAGCATGGGCATGGCTCGCGCCAAACGAAGAAGCAGCATTCGGCACAACACTACTAAGAATGGCAGAGGCTATACGACCGATCTGTGCTTTTGAACCGAGGCTACTGAAACTTCGATCACCTGTATATGTTATTGGTATAGAGTTTAAAACCATATCACAATACCAGAGTTTAAGAGGTCAAGGGTATTTGACATGGGTTAAGGATTGTGTGTTTGAGTTGTATTTCCAAATCTCCGTTATATACTAATATTATAAAGCTGAAAAGTTTGTTTAAACGCGCTTCTTTCAGGCACTACTGGTTCGAATCGATTTTTTTTGTGTTTGTTGGTCCCATTTATCAAAGAATTCTATAAAACATTAGGCTGCGGCCAATAGGGCCGAAGACACGGTGGAAAAAACGGGGAAAAAATTCTACTTTGATGGTGCGATACGAAAACGATTCAAGATATATTTGTAATCTAAAAATGTCCGCGAGAACATATTACATATGTCTATCTTTTAAGATAAATTTACAAGGACCATTTTTATGGTAATCAAATTTGGAATACTTCATATCTCAAACGTAAACGTGAAGCCGAAGTTAAAAATCTTTTTCAAATAAGTTTAACTAATATATCGCGTTTTAAACCGGTAAAGTGTTTAATTTAAATATTTCATATGGAAAAAGAACGGCAGGGCAGCTAGTATGTATACTATAATGTAGACTGTAATATCTGTTATAAACTATCTGTATATAGTCTGTATACATTTTCGATTTCAGGTGATTTACACGGTAACCTTTCCGCGCTGTTAGCTATGGAGTCTTCCTTATGGCCACTCGGACCTTCAATGGTTCCAGCAAAACTGCTCTTCTTAGGCGATTACGTAGACCGAGGTGCTTACGGCGCTGAGTTACTGGCCTATCTATTTGCCGCTAAACTGCAACGACCAAATGGAGTGTATCTCGTTAGAGGCAACCACGAAGCGAGAGATATACAAAAAATGTTCAGTTTTCATGCGTTAGTCCCAAAACCTATGGTTGAAGTAGATATAAGTACTATATAAGATATACTATATATAGTATATAAGTACTTAAACTTGTCTCAAAGGAAATCTATACCAATATATAAAGCTGAAGAGTTTGTTTGTTTGAAGGCGCTAATGGTGGTTCGAACTTCAAATTGAAAAATTATTTTCATGTTGGTTTATCGAGGACGGCTGTAGCCTATAAAACATAGCGCTGTGACTAATAGGAGCGAAGAAGTGGCAAAAATAATTTCTTTAGGTCATTTACTTAAAGATGAAGCATATCTTTAAAATGATCTAAAAAAAATTAGACCTCTAGCTTTTAAGCTTAATAAATAAAAACGAACGTGACCGACGTCGTGGTAACAGCTAACATAAAGATAAAGAGGAAATTTTAATGCCCAAAACAACTATTTTAAACGGACGAAGTCGCTGACACAGCTAGTATATTAACATATAAATAAACATAATAAACATAAAATTACCTATTTAACATTTATACATAAAATATTAAATAGTGAATTTTATAATGATTCTAACCACTCAAAGTAATACATTTCAGGGAGTGCCTAGCAAAATATGGTGAAAACGAAGGTGGCAGGATATGGAACGCCATCAATCAAGTGTTTGACGCGCTGCCACTAGCGGCTGTAGTTGATGACAAGGTATTGATGACAGATACTTTTCGTTCGAAGGACTTTGTTGTACGAATAACTTTAATACATTTACAGGTGTTTTGTTGCCATGGTGGCATTCCACCACCGTGGGTGTGTCCTTTAATGTCTGCGATAGACAAAGTACCAGTGCCACTACCAAGACCAGCAGAACAGAGTTCCATTGCCTGGGAGTTAATGTGGAATGACCCAATTAGGTAACGGCAGCATTACATATATAACCTAAACCGATAAATAAAAGGTTCGAAAATATATGACTGATGATTATTTATATTGAAGCAAGCCCTTAGTAACAAGGGCGGATCTAGCTTTGAGGCCAGGAGGGCGTCAAATAGTCGTGGTCAAGTCAAGAGCTTTTAACATAATTTTGATACCAATAGATACAAAAGTACCTAGGCATTTGATTAATTAAAAAAAAAGTACTCTACTTTAAAATATTCATTCTTAATTGTACACTAGTAGAGTTTAACACAAAATAATTTGTAAATAAAGTATATATGTACGTTCAATTAATGGTCAGTCCATCTTAGGCCTGGAACCAGCTTATGGGCTATAAGCCCCCCCCCTCCCTGGATCCGCCTTTGGTTGGTTAAGGTCTCAGCACAGTTGGGATAGGAAAGGGATCGTAACCGTAACCCTCGAGCCGTTCAGAATGGTTTGTATTAAACTCCCTACTCAACGCACACTAATGGAATCGTAACGTAATCCTCGCTGGAACTTGCAATTCCCGGCTTGCTCATGTCCCCCTTACGGCTCATCGTCCCGTTAGGCTCATCGTCCCCGCGCTTACGGTATCGTCCCCCGCTTACGTCTCTCGTCCCCGCGCTTGCGTCCTCCTTGCTTTATTATATTGTGTACCCAATATTTTGGGGAAGGCGTAAGCGGGTGTCGCCTAGCGTCGAGTGCGTACAGGCGCTGCTGATACGCTTTCGTTACGTGCGTACGGTAGGTTGACGCCTGGTTACGAGGTGAAAGGGTTACGGTTATTCCCTTTCCGATCCATATTGGGCTTAAGCTACCAATTTGGTTAGAGCGCTCTACGGTTCATGCCCTGTTCGTGACATCAATCTTTTTTCAATAAACATATGTGAAACATACAATTCTTTAAACAGCTAAGCTAAAGCTGTTGTATTGGCATAAGTCTCAGCTATCTTATAGTCCTGTGATGGTTAATATTTAATCAGAAAGAACAAAATAACTGCTTCACTGGCTTTGGAACTGGCGGCAAATGAAGGATTCGCGGTCAACACCAAGCGCGGTACTGGGCATGTGTTCGAGCAGGCTGCTTTAGAGCGATTCCTGCTCGCCAACCAGCTCTCGCATGTTGTTCGAGCACACGAGCTACAGCAAAACGGTTTCATGGTTATATCCACTTATTTATAGTTATACGTCATTACGCCAAGTGTTACTACATTGCTGAAATTTTTCATTTTTTTTTAATGATAGAGAAGAGGGGGGGGGAAAAAAGAAAAAAAAACGGGGGGGCGGAAACATGTTGGCCCCGGGGGATCGAACCCAGTAGCTGTTGATTATTACCAATACATTGTTACCTTACGTCTTTGATAATCAACGTCATTACTTGATGATCAAAGTGGGTCTCAGTATACATTGACAACATTTTTTTAAATTAAAACAATTGATAAAGTTATAGTACCTAAGTTTGTATAATTTTCTTCAGTAGTAATCAACTTTAACTTCTTATAATACTACTAATGACCGATTCAGTGATCTTGCGGTTAGTGTATCGACATCAGATCACGAAGGCTCGGGTTCGTCTGAAGGGTTGGACGAAATGTTACTTCGGTATTTGGAAACTTTCTACCATCACACCGGTAGTTCGACGTAGGTATCAACAAATTCGTACCTAGGAGAGTGAGTCAAACCGTTGTTCCTGGTATCACCACTAATTTGAGGCCTCTTGAGTTAGGAAACTGCCCAAAAGTGGGGTATTATTAATATGTTAAAACTAATAGCATTCACACAATAAATAAATGTTTCCAGGTCCAATTCAACGGACGTCTAGTGTCTGTCTTCTCATCGTCTCATTACTGTGGAGGCACTAACGACTCTGGTGTCGCGTTACTTGAAGATGGCAAACTCAGACTTATACGGGTTACTGTTGACTTATAAATAAATTTTGCAGAGCTACATTGTTTAAAATTGATCCTACTAAGTTTGCATATATACTATAGGTTTCCATACCATTGTAACCTTTGAACAGATGTGCTATCTATACTAATATATAAAGCTGAAGAGTTTGTTTGTTTGTACGTTAACGCTAATCTCAGGAACTACGGGTTCGAATTGAGCAATTCTTTGAACATTTATCGAGGAAGGCTAAAATCCTGTGACTAATAAAAGCGATGATAAAGCGAGAAATAAAAATAAAAAATGGGATAATTATTCATAATTACGGGTTTCAGGGGCGAACGCTGTAAAACCAGTTCCAGATACCCAAAAATGTATGAAAGAATGATTTCTCTTCAAATAATCTAAAAAAAGAGTCCGAGAACTTGCAGGAACGGTGTGCATGTAATGGCTAACAGGTTAAGATTATAAAGTTGAAGGGGTTTTTAAAAACGAATTTGGATGCCCCAAATAACGATTCTCGACAACGACAACGAAGTCGCTTACACAGCTAGTATAGCATATAATTCAAAGGAAAAAAAAAACAAGTTCAAAGTCTTTTGTATTACAAAACTTTTACATACATATAGCAGATTTGTAGTTTTAGATCTTCTTAATATAACTTATTAAACTATAGCTATGCCAAAGCTGTACAAACAAGGAATGAGAATTGTATAATTATAAAAAAAACACCTTTAAACAAATTTCGAATTAATATTTATATGAAGATTTTTACATGTTTCTAATACAGTTTTATATATCCTGACTTTCGGTATGTGAAAATTTGATTATGTTAATTTGTCATGGAAATTATGTGTTATAAATATCCTGTCAGTATTATGATCAATTATCAAAACTAATCTAATAAATAATACAGTCATACACAGCTCTTCAGTAACAATATTTTAATTACAAAGCGAATTAGTTAATTAGTTACCTGCATATACCTTTTGCATCAGGCAAGAGGTTCCTATAGTCTTCTGAAATTCACATTTTATCGTCGACTTACTTACGTAGTTCTATGTACTATATCTTAATGTGTCCTCCCTAGATACGATAAAAAAGTGTGTATTAAATTCAATTACACGCTATATTTTTTTCGAGTATAGCTTGATGTAAAAAACTAAAAACAGTTGTAACTGCGCTCATAGTATTCTTAAATTACCTAAAAATAATAGATACAGTAAAGTTCATCAACTTTCTATCAAGAGTAGCTTAAGGTAGCTTAACCTCTGTGTTAAAAAATATCAAAATTAACTTGCAAGTTAGTAATTTAAGTAAAAATAAACACTTGGTTATATAATGAAATTTTAATTAATAAGTCGACGATATTATATTATCTATAATCTATAAGCTACTGAGAACATATCTTTGTTCATAAGTATGTACATTTAAATAAACTTAGTCTATTTTACTAATACTACTTTCATATCTCTATTCTCCGAGCCAAGTAAAATTGAAGTCCTATATACATCTTAAACATCCCATTGAACGAAACGTTTATTACTACAATGACAATGATTAAGACCAGCCAAGGTTCCAGAAATTTCCATCCATTAACAAATTTGTATTTACTGATGGACCAGGGCCAAAGCTACCAAAATTTATATCTTCAAAACTTAAAGAACCAATGTCGTCTTTCTAGCGGCAACTGACTTTTATCCTAATTTATATTTTTAGTACAATTCTAATATATGAACTATCGCTACTATTAATGCTTCAATTTTAGCCTGGTGCAATGTTCTTTTACAAAAATATATTTCACTCTTTGCACTTACTTAGATCTCATAGTAGTAGTTTTCCTTGTAATATTTCAAAAACTGCTTTCCGTCGAAGGTAGGGCATGTGGATTTGTGTGAAGGTGTATGGTGCGTTTCTGCAGGAGAACTCGGCGAATGTGCACGCAAACATGCCACAATCGCTACCGTTCATTTGTTGAGGAATGTCCTGAAATCGCAAAACATCAACCTTCATCTCAGCATTCAATAACTATATAAATAGCAACAGTAAGTTAAATCATTGCAAAGTAAGTTAATAACTTGAATTGCCACATTAAACATTTTATTTACCATATTTTATTTCATTTACCAGTTTTGTTGCAGGTTAGAAAATCAACTGTTGTTTATTATTCTCATTTAAGTTTTTATGTGAGAAGAATAAAGTATGTATTACATAAGGGCTAGCTAATGTCGCTGCAAATATTTACCTATTTTGTTTAGATTTAAATTAAAAAGCATAACTATACCTTTAAACTCTCTGTTTTCCACCCATTGTCGTCAAATGGCTGTCCTTTTTTATCCTTGTGTTCATCTCGCAGATACTGAAGTAATGCATTTAGTGCAGCTTGATTTTTTCCTCCCATGCTGTCCAGATAAGAGATCTTTTTCTCTCTAAAATCAATGATGCTCATGCACCAATGAATCCCTAAATGAACTGGTACCACCATGAGATCGTGCGCAAAGATATCCACCTGTAAAAATTGGAAATAAAGATATCACTGTAAACTTTTAAATATATTTAAAATAGAGGTGCCGAGAGGAGGTGGTGAGGATGTACTTGAAAGGTCACCTCTTCTTCTGGTAAAACAAGAATTTGAAACGTTGCTTATTTCTATGATTTAAACTGTCATTGTCTAAATAGGGTCTAAATTGCATTAAACATTAAAACCAATGTACCTTTCTAGTCCATCGTCGGAGACCAGCTTGTCCGCTCTGCATCAGTTTTGGATAAAAGAATGTATTAGCTGCATAGACCTGGGGTAAGTCCTTGCGTTCTGAACATCTTTGCATTAATAAATTCATATAAAAGTTGATGACTTCGTCATTTAGCCAATTCAAGCCTGACAGTGTTTGAAGATCACGTCTGTAAAAGATAAGATGTGGATATAATGTTGTTGTCTATTATTTAATTGCTAACCAAAAACCTTGAAGAGGGTAAATATTATATAGTTGTTATATTTACCTTGTTATCCTTAAATTAAACTTCTCAATAAGAACTTGTCCCTGTGGTCCAGGTCCCATTGCTTTACTGACTAGATTCTCCTGCTCAGGAGTTAGTGGAGGCAACTCAACTGAGGGTTGATCTTCGACAATTAAACTCTCTTCTATACATAATTCATACTTCAATTTATTTCTCAAATGTGCTAAAGATTGCTCATGATTAACCTTAGATATAATATCAGATTCACGTCGTGCATCATTAATTTTTTGTTGAGTTTCCTTTTTTTTGTTATTATATTTTGTGTCCAATGTTGCCAAATAATCACCTGATGTTACCTTTCTGTCTTTAAATGAATCACGTAATGTGTTTATTGGATTAATTCTAGTTGAAGATGCAGAGGACTCTGATGGTACTACTTCAACATCGGAGTCAGAAGAATTTATGGAAGCTACAGTGATTGGATCATATTCTATTGTAGATTCATGTCCTTTATTCAGTTTAAAGTCTCTCTCCATTCTTTTAATTTCATTAAGTGAGTTTCTTTGGGTCTTTTTTGTCAATCTAAAAGAAGCTGTTTCATCGGCTAAATTAATTATATCTACTGGTTTTCGGTATACAGAATTGTCTAATTGAGACATTTTTTCTATTAATTCTCTAAAATTATTTTTTTCATCTACATCAAAGAGTTTCAATAGTATTGAATCTCTACTACTTTTCACCTCTTGATTATATTTGGTCTTTTCTCTTAGCCAATTAGGTAATGATGTAGTTGATGGTTTCTTGTATGCTTTAGATATGCCATAATTGTTTCTGGGTAGGCTACTGGATCTCGGTGAGCCTTTATCGACAATTTTGCGATATTGACTATATTTCGATATCTTAGGCTCCATAAACTTTGCCAAATCAGTGTCATCAAGAGGAAAAAGCTTCAAAGGTTTTCGTGCTGGAGATATTGTTTTTACAAATACAACATCTTTATCATAATTTTCATCATCATCATTAACATTGATATACAATTGTGGTGTTTTCTTCTGTGATGGTTGAGGCTCCACTAATGTGACCTAAAATTATATTAAATCCATAAATAAACACAAGACATAAAATCTTTGTATTAGGTTGATACATATTGATGTGAACTGACTGATATTTAACAGTTTTATCAGTCATGTAATATGTTTAAGAAATTATATAAACTTTCTGCATCAAAATAGATAGTCATGCCACATATTTCTGTAGTTAACATTAAATAAAATCATCCTAAGCACTACTAACATTTGTTAATAAATTTCTCACAAGTGGAAGCCATTGTAGGACACATATCACATAAATCTTAATGTAATAAAGATTACACTTCAATCTGATCTAAGTTATTAATTGCATTATATGTAGCACAAATAGAATTTTCTTTCATGGTAAATGTAACAATAACATTAACTGCTAAACTTAAATTATTATTAAGTGCTCCTAGTATCAATTGTAACTATAATACTGTAATTTTGATGCCTATAAATGTTTTTCATGGTCTAGTTGTGTAAGTTATGTTTAAACCTCGATTTTATCTGTGAAACTATTTAAGGGAATATCTGCACCCTAATTCTTTTTTTTTTAACTCCTTATTATTATAAGGAGTTAAATCATATTTGATTCTGTGATATTTCTGTTTGTTTCCTGTTTTCTTAAATAAATAAATAAATAAATACTAGCTGAAATTAATGTACCTCTTCTTCATCCTCATCATTATCAAGGACCAAAGCATGTATTGGATGAGAAGGGTTGTTCTTACGGCTCTTCACTGGTGATAAAGATCCATTCTGTCTACCAACCAACCTCATTGGTATTGCTCTAATGCGATTTTCCTTATTCCCCCTTTCATATGGTGTAGATGTAGTTGGTTGTTCATCTTCAATTTCGATCGGGACAATTCTTACATTTTTGTAAGTTCTACTGCTATCTTCCAATTCATCTAAAAGTAAGTAATGTATTGTAAGAACTAAACTATATGGTGTACGGGGTACATACTTTTAGTGTAATATTTGATACTACCTTTTGAAGACATAGTTTCGGGATATATTGTTTTCGGTATAGCTTTTAGCCTCTTCAAACCTCCGATAGGTGAGTATTCATTCTCTTGGGATCTTAAAATAAAAAAGTGAATACAGCGGATATGTTATTATGTTTGAAGCTATTAAGAAAATACCTACTGCCAAAAACTTGACGCCAGCTTTAGAGGTATTTTGTACATTTTATTAGTATTTAATAAACGTTTAATGCATCATTCTAACAACTTTGCCGCCATAACTATTGCATGTTGTAAACAAGAAGTGTCAAAAGCATACCTGTCGCGTTTTAGGTTTATTTTATTTCGATTGTCTTCTAACCATGAGCCCATTATATAACGGACGTAAGATACTATAGAACTCATTTTCCTTATTTTATCGTGCCCATTACACTATGATTCCGCTTTCGAAATATAAAAACACAAGCCGTCGAAAATGACAACGGCGAAAGTAAAGTGGCAAAAGCTACATTGTGTTGCCACTTGCCAGACATACATCTCAGATTCTGCAAGCTTTTTCCTAAAATACGGACAAGGTTACAATAATATGTTTTTATTAGTTTTACTATTATTTTTCCACTGACATGTAAATTTTGAATTTTATGCAGAAAAACTGGTACCTAGATTTTTGTGAATGTCTTAAATGATTATCGACTATTAGAGCAAAAAGGCACAATATTTATAACATACATACTTCAAACATTATCCATTCGTACGAGACTGTTGTACGCTATGATATTTTATTTTTCAAACAACTCTTTTGTTCTGTATTCGTAAACTTGAATTCCTAACAGAATAAATAACATTGAATTCTTCTTCTTTGTGTGTAGCTACAAAGACTTCAAGCAATTTTATCATGATACCATAGACAATCTAAATAAAAATAATAAAATTGTCTGTAGACCTAACTAAAACAGAAAGAGCTCAAGGAGGAGGTAGGAAACGGATAATTTCAATTTGTAGAATATTCTGTGAAAAGGTTAATGAATCAGCAAACGCAAAAGTGCCGTTAAAACATGTTTTATTAGTTTTCTGTAACGTAATTCTAAGTTAATCTTTGGTTTCCTGTGTACGAATCATAAATCTCACAGCCGCACGTCTACCACGATAAAATGGCGACGGATCCAGCGAAAAACCGCATGCATGTTTTCAAGAACACTGGCAAAGATGTCGATGTAAGTACTGAGGTGTCAAATTTCTGTATACGTGAATTTCAAGTTTTAAGATCACAACGGCGTTAATATGTTATTCTTTTGTAGGAAATGCGCAGACGACGAAACGAAGTGACAGTTGAGCTAAGAAAAAATAAACGAGAAGAAACATTACAAAAACGACGTAATGTCCCAATCGGCGACTCAACAGATGAAGACGAGATCGAGAGGACATTGGCGACGACAGATTTACAGGAACTTGTTTTGAACGCAGCTAATGCTGAAAACCCCGAAGTGCAACTTGCAGCTGTACAGCAATGTAGAAAACTATTGTCTTCTGACAAGAACCCGCCGATAGATGATTTGATAAACACTGGAATCCTTTCCATCCTTGTAATGTGTCTTTCAAGGGCAGATAATCCTACTCTTCAATTTGAAGCAGCCTGGGCACTAACAAATATTGCATCAGGAACATCTGCTCAAACAAACAAAGTGGTCCACGCTGGTGCAGTGCCATTGTTCTTGCAGCTACTCATGTCGCCACATGAAAATGTTTGCGAGCAAGCAGTATGGGCCCTTGGAAACATTATTGGTGATGGTCCTATACTTCGTGACTTTGTTGTTGAATTGGGTGTGGTTAAGCCGTTGCTTAGTTTTATTAAGCCTGATATACCCATTTCATTTCTACGCAATGTGACTTGGGTCATTGTAAACCTATGTAGAAATAAAGATCCACCTCCACCTATAAAAACTATCCAGGAGATTTTACCAGCGCTAAATGTACTCATCACTCACACTGACATAAATGTAAGCTATTTTTCTACCTCTGTTAAGTCTAAATCTAAGATTACCTCTAAGATAAAAGACAAATTTTCTTTATTTAGGTTCATTATCAAAGTTCATTGAATGAATAGTTAGTTGATTTTAAAGGAATAATATTACTTTAGATCTTCTTATACAATAAATTCCTGCACTAATTGTATTTTTTCTTGCAGATTTTAGTGGACACAGTGTGGGCAATAAGTTATTTAACTGATGGAGGAAATGAACAAATTCAAATGGTTATAGATTCAGGGATTGTACCTAAATTGATCCCATTGCTTTCACATAAGGAAGTAAAGTGTCAAACAGCAGCTCTGCGAGCTGTTGGCAACATAGTCACCGGAACAGATGAACAAACTCAAGTTGTGCTGAACTGCGATGCTCTATCACACTTCCCTGCATTGTTGTCTCATCAGGTAATTAATTATTTATGCTTATTAGAGAGTACTAGTTACGAGTACCACTCCTATAAGAAGTTTTATCTATTTACATTGGTTGAGTATACATACTTTACTTGTTTTGTCTGTCTTGTTCTCCTTTGATGACAGTTTTAAATTCATATATGTAATTCAATTACTGCTTGGCTGACTAACAATAATAATTGAAAGTTAATACATATTTCATTTTTTAATAACACATTTGATATTACAGAAAGAAAAGATCTGCAAAGAAGCAGTGTGGTTCTTGTCAAACATAACAGCAGGTAACAAACAACAGGTGCAAGCTGTTATCGATGCTGGCCTTTTGCCCAAGATAGTAGAAAACCTCAGCAAAGGAGAGTTCCAGACTCAGAAGGAAGCGGCTTGGGCAGTTTCCAACCTTTGTATTAGTGGCACTAAGGAACAAGTTGCTGCGTTGATACAGTGTGGTGTTATCCCACCTTTCTGTAATTTACTATCTTGTAAAGACACGCAGGTTATAAATGTAAGTTTTTTTTTATTCTTGGTAACTCGGAAGAAACTTATGATGTCTGAAATGAAGCAAGGCTTTCTTAACAAAACATTGTTGATATTCATAATTTCTAAGATTATAAAAAACTAATTTCATTAATTTTATGAAATTTACCAAACACAACATATAATATTAAAGAAAGTCTCCCAATGTTATTTTGGTCTCAGAATACCAAATAGCTATAGTTTATGTGTAATCCTTAATATATAGGTCTGTTCCAACTATTTTTCAGGTTGTATTGGATGGTTTATCAAACATGCTCAAGATGGCTGGAGAGAATGCCGAACAGGTGGCCAATATGATTGAAGAATGTGGAGGAATTGACAAAATTGAAGAACTACAGTCTCACGAAAAAGTTGAAATATACAAGATGGCGTATGATATCATCGAACAGTACTTTGCTGATGAGGTCAGCCCCAATCATATTACCTTAACTATCATTACATTTATTTCAAAATACTTTATGATATGTTTATGAAAGAATTTGGTGATGCTAGGCACAGATCTTCTTTCTTGATAGGGCTTAAGAGCTTTGACCCACCTGCTTATGTTTTAATTGGTTCAATTTAACTAGTATAATAGTAATGACTGATAAGTTCTCTAAACAAATCTGTTATCTGAACATGCTTCAGGACACAAAAATTACAGTACAAAACAGTAGCAGAGTAAAATCAATTTTCACATATTATAATGTATTTAGTTTCGATGAATCTACCTAAGTTATTTGTATAAAGTAAAATAACTATGTATCATCATTTGCTTTAGGAGGAAGATGCTACGCTTGTCCCGACGACGGCTGAACAAGCCTTCCAGTTTGAACCGGCGCCAAGTGGTCCTCACGACGGCTTCCACTTCTAAACATAGGTCCACCTCACATAATAATCAATCACCACATAACTCGGCACATGTCGTCGGCACCATACGTGTGCATGACGTGTATACGATAACCTCATAAAAACGGGATTTCTGGCGACAATATCTCCCTAATTATGAATTATTATTATATGGCAATGTTTATGAAGTCAGCAATTTTATGTTACTCATATTTGAGCAGTTTCGAAGAAATCCCCTGTTTATGTCGCTAATTTTATTTGCTATATCAGAATAGTCGTTCTTAATTAATTTATAGTTAATTGCTAAGGTTTCGTATGAATAATCGTTTATAAAAACTGTTTTACAAATTATGTGTATTCATAAAAGCTTTTTATGAGGCCGACCGATATGAGTCTTATCACGCGAATTGTAACGTTGTTGTTATTAATTCGGTCATCGGATTCATTTCGAACACGTCGAAGTGTGCGATTACTTTTTTTTACGATGGATTAACGAATGAATGTTAAAGATTGAGACTTGTTATATCGTTCGTCGGTCCATCGGACCCCGTGCGACGTCACGCGTCTAGCAAAAAGGCCTTAGCACCGTGATCGTTGTAATATTCGCGTTTTTAATTAAAAAAAAAATTGTTTGACTATCGGTGCTGTGGCTTCGTTGTGATACAAAATATTGTGATGTTTGAAGAATTTTTCATTGTTTTTTCATAATCGTAGGGCTGAAACCGCGACAGTGAATCTGGCCATCTAACTCGTATGTTGCTGCATATTAGATTATAATAACTATCATAGGAATAATCAAACTCCAGGTCGGGCTGTTGCGATTTCTAGCTCCGAGGGACGGACAGTGTAGCTTTAAGTGAGTCCGGGAAACTAGTGTACTCCGCTTACACATTGCTTTACTTATAACATAGTATTTATGTTTTGAATTTTTAACTCGAAAGCGTTGCCGTATGGAACTCATCGAACGAACTTCTGTTCTGATAACGAACCCATTTGTTTATACATTACAATAAATTCTGTCCAATTACTTGTGTATATAATTTATTGTCCCAAATATATTAATGGAAGAGATGACTCGCTGGCAGAATGTATGCTGGCTTTGTTCTGTTCCTACGAGAAAAAAATATTGAATTAAATTGAAAATTCCCAATACATTTGATCAAAAATTCGGGTGTCATGACATACCAATTTTTTGGAACAAGCATAGCACTTAGTAGTTCCGTGATAGGATTCTTGTTTCGATTCTTCATATCTCGCAGCCAAGCGAGTATTTAGCGTCTCCACGTCATGGAATTGACCCACTTTTTGCTGAAAACTGAAGAACCAATAGTTATTGGGTAAATAATTGCTTATAGGTAAAGCAGTAGAATCTTACTTGGGCAAAGGTTTCGTCCATCGGTTATCCAGTCTATTTACTTTCATGACAGTGTTGAGTCGTTGTAGTAAGCTGAAGTTTTCATTTTGAATCTTGATCTTTCTGTCAAGTTCCCTTTGCACCTTTTTGAGTTTGACGGCTACGTGTGGTCGGGGTGCTGGTGGCCGGTCGTCGATAGCCGGTAAAGCTGACGCAACCTATCAATTTCGCGTTATAAAAATATGGTTAAGTTAAATAAGTACTACACAAATATAACAAATGCCCTCGCACCTTAAACCTGTGATCTTTGTATCTTCTTTCATCCCACGGTTGCTGATACAACTTTTCTCGGCGTGATAACATAATATTATAAAATCCCTTAAATGCGCTTCTCTCCACAAAAAGTTCTTCCTGTTAAATCAATGAAGGTCGCCAGGGAGATACATGTTACTCAATTTTAGGTTTAAATTTAATTACGAAACCTGAGCATGTTATACAATATAATTGTTTTCTTTGTGAAGTATTAATTTAATAAATAGAAAATAATGTTTGTTTACCTTAGTTGTTGTATTCTGAATGTAGAGTTGGTGTGTACGTCACACACACACGTCACAAAGCGTTACATTTTACGCAGGGTAAATAATAAAACGAGATTGCAAATTAATAAATAAATTATATTGTTAAATATTATAATACACTGCACTTACATTAGTATCATATAATGCTCAGTACATCGGATAAACACGAAAACGTTCAAACACATTGTTACAAATAAAAATATATTTTGAGCAATATAAAAATAAAAACTGAATCACTCTATAATCTAAACTATATATGCTAAATAATATGATAATTAGTTTTATTATGATCAATGTCGACTGTTTAACTGTTTTCTTGTATATAAAGCGTAGGAATGTAAATAAGTCCGCGTTTATTTTTATTAGGATTTGGCAACGATAAGAAGCTGTTAGATAGAGTGGTGATTACGAGCCGATAAAAACAATTTATTTGTTTCTACACCAACATTCAGCAATTTTGTGCTTTACACCCAATCTTCTGGGAAGACTTATCACCCCAAACATTCCGAAGCATTAGCACAAACACGTGACGGTTTTCAAAATTGCAGCCGAGCCCAATGTGTGCGCCCAAAACTGGCTACAAATAAAAAATTGACAGGCCGTCGTTGCTATTGACACCTGTACATGTTCCCACTTCGACTTCAATTTTCACTCGATGATGAAACCGTACGCTTCATCGTTCTATAGCGATTCTATTTTCGTCTATATTGTTCCTAATATCCTACTTTACGTTCGAGTTTCCAATTACAGTATTATGTCTACTTACGATAGAGTATAAAACGTATTAAATACATCAAAAAGATCTAGTAACTTACAATCTTCGATCGAGATAATATTGTATTTGTCAATAAAAAATTGACAAATACTATCACACAAAAGTGTTTCGGAAATTAAACTCGAAACAAAGCTTTGATGCTATGTATTGGTGTTTCACAAAAATCATTAAAACAATATTTCAATAGGCATGGTCCTGGTTTTCGAAAAGTAAAGTATAAATGCGAGTTATATAAAGCTCGATATAAATGCGGTCGCCAACGAAGTATATAATGTAGAAAAATAACACGCCCCTTTGCGACAAAGCTCGAATAGACAAACTACGGAAATTAGTGATTTTGTAAAAAAATATCATAGTAATTTTTGAAGCGAACTTATTGTTGCTGATTTTTTCGTAACTATTATTTTAATAAAACACTTAACGGTTTAATTTATATCTTGACATCTGTGATCTGACGTTTGAGATGATTTATAGCAGCTGCGGTCACGGGGTGTTGTCCCCAGTTGTATTTGATCCGTTAAGTGTTTTATTTAACCTACTACTCGCGTAAACTACAGACAATTCTATTCAGTATTGTACTTTTGAGATAGATATAACGGTGAAGCTACAAGGACTTTTCATTCTGTTTTATATATACGAAGCCATACCCGGAGATGTTAATCACGATTACTGCTTTCTATTGGACGATATTTTCACGAGGTGCGAACGTACAGCTAAAAATATACCGCGCTTTTTAAACGTTAATCCGAAACTATGAAACAAAAGCGCTGTTCGAAAATAAACCTCATTTTGGAAGATCATGATTGTTACAGTTTAACTTTTTAGAAGTACTGAGAACCCTACGATAAATGGAAAGTATATATCTGGCACATAAACACTTAAAAAATAAAAATACTGTAACTTAAGTCGATGATTGGCATTTACATATACAAAATTATTACTTTAAAAAATTTACAAAACAACACAAAAACCTGCCGCGGATCGTAAAACAGTGTACATGTGAATAAAATCAAATCGATTTCGCTAATACAAAAACATTATTGCTACCTTAAAACAATCGCTATTTACAAAAATCAGAATTGAATTTCGAACAATAATCTCAGTTACTTACACTGTATAGACATGTTTTGATTTATTGTAAAGTATAAAACCTTATAATATGCAATATGTGTTATAAAATGGCAGAGTTTGGAGTCTACGTTGAAAGAGACAGCATTACACCTTGATGACCTTTTAACTATGAAACTACCCTCAACCGCTGATGGTGTTCTAAGTTACAAAATTTTGTACAATGCCGTCCATTTCAGTCGCACTTAAACCCAATGATCGTGTATTTAGGCGAAGCGTGTGATGCTGGCGTATTGACTAGCACAGTCACATCAGTAAACCATTCTGAGATTCCGAGCCCGATACGAGGATTACATTTTGGTTAAAATGCAATTTGTGTTTCTACCCTTGTATCATTTCTTGCGTACAACCTGGGTTAACTAATTCGTTGTCGAATCTATTTTATGTACTTTAGACGTCACGCTTTATGTTTTTGTGAAAAAAGTACTTATATGTATTAATTTTTAAAACTAATTTAGTTGTTAAAGTGTAACATAAAGTATGACATCTATTTCCCCAAACCAACATTTCCTGATTGTGACTTACATTAACTTAGTAGCCGAACATCACAATATAACATACTTGTACATATGTGTATATATCACATGTACATTCTTTACATGAGTTTTCATTCAAATTGGTCACATGGACAACTTACTGGTAACGCTGATAACAAATGGATTGTGTTACATTACATAGTCTTAAAATAAATTTTGTATGTTGTACTGTTAACAATATACATTATATTTAAGTTTTCAAAAGAAATTCTTATGAACAACATCAATATCATTAATCATTGGTATAAATTCATGCAAAATTGGGTCTACACCATCAAATGTAACCGGTACTAAGTTGAGAGAAAATATTAAAATTATCAATTCTCACTCGATGTTTCAAATTTGCTAGGCGTCCCGTGATAAATCAAATTGTTGTCCATGTACACCAATTAAGGATCTATGCACACGAATCAAAATGTTGCGTCAGGTACATTCGAAAGATCCACCTGTTTATAAACGCCTCAAGTGGTGTCTGATTCTGTGCGACTCGTGCGCAAAGTTCCTAAATTACATAATGGTATTTTCATCTCTATAATAAAATTATTACACTAGATTACTTATGGTGCTATATAATATGATATAGAAATTGCTTACCTAATATAGTAGAGAACGCGCAAGCCAATTTTTGGTTTATCGTCATATTAGCGTTGTATCAACGCATTATACTATATTGTGTGACTACTATCTATTCTGTACGCGCTAAGTATTTCACATGGTGATGTGTTGTTAGTTTAATAAATGTTAAAGTACGTAAAAATTGTGACCATATGTATGTTTATTAATACAATTTTTAATCAGCTCACATGAAGTAACTGATATTAACCAGATTCTGAGAGTCTTCCAAAAGTTTGGGAGAAAATGCATTGGATTGGAATAGATTTTCGTATCAAACCCAGAAGATATACCTCTGTAGTGAGATTTTGTATTAATCACATAGCTTGTTCACAATTATATGCAATAACGTTAATAATCGCTTCTACGAAAACCTAAAATGTCTTCTGGTAAGCAATGTATGTGTGACAAAATAATTTCTTGGTGAAAGTAGGTAACTATTGCAACTATGTTTCGAAAATGACGTGGGTTAAAATAGCAGAAATAAATACGCTACCGTTTGCCCCTGATAGTATTATTACATAAATAATAAAGGCAAGTATTATGAACCACTTGTTATTGCAATAAAGGCCTTTCTATAGCAACATATTTGGTATCATTATTCAAAATAGCGATAATAACTCGTATGAAAGTTATGTATTTTTTGTTTAGTTACTGTAAAGAGATGGTAAAACTCGGTTACATTCGATATTTTGGAAAATAAATGTAACGAAGATATTCTACAATTTGCCTAAAAGTTAGAAATTAAATTTTAAGCTTCTCATACTGTAATGTAATGTAATTTCTTATACTGTAAAAACAAAGTAGACAATTATTATATGCAAGTTATTAGAAATAATCTATGTTAATACTATATTTTGCTTGTAGCTGCCTGCAAATGTTAAACTAATAGTAAAGACGTCTGTGGTATTGGAGTAACAAAACATTGTAGATCTTATGATCCTTAGGTCCTATGTAGTCTTTTGAGAATGCAATTCGTAAGGTCCAGATCTTGGGGAACGAGCTCTTAACAATTTTTAGCTGTTCTCGAATAATTAAATAATCAAATAAAATCGAAAAATTGATTGAGCTATAATTTAGCCATTTATATTTAAGGTACATTGTACATACAAGTTTGTCTAACCATTCTGTTCGCTCTTAATCAACCCAAGATCTATCCTTCCTATATTTAGACCCAATTTGACCAAAAAAAGGTCATTTATTATGAAAGTTAACGATAGTTAATATTTAGTTTCGAAGTAATTTGCATATGAAATTCTCTAGTTTAACAGACTGTTAACTCTAATCAATGACTTCATCCATTAGTGAAATTAGGTCTTACAATTTAATTGACTCTTAAATGAGTCTCTTAACCACAATGGCACTTAGGATACTACCTCAAGACGGCACGACACAATAGGACAACTTGAGACGAATCTTGATGACACCCGAAATGCCACTGCGACAGGGCGCGACGCAGCCGCTCAGCAGTTCTGCGGGGCGCGGGGCAAGGGACGCACGAGGTAGAGCTTCTCGCCCTGCTTGTTGGTGTATATTGGTGCACGCTGATAGTGGGCGACCAATTGGTCGAGCGTAGTGAACTTACGCTGGCCGATGCAGTACAAACTACCCTCCACGTGGACGCGGAAGTGTTTGTTGCGGCCGGGGGCTTTTAGGGACACGGAGTAGTCACCCACCTGCAATAATATTCATAGGTTTTATTTTGACGGGATCTTTGATGCAATAGTAAAAATGTATGGCTAATAACGTACAGAGTGTGGGTTCGATTCAATTTTATAAACCTTTTCTCATGTTATTGCCCATGTTGTAAATTGAAAATAGATTTTGAATTGAAAACAATTTTCGACACGTGCAAGACTTCAACTGGCATCCACTACGTCTTGTTCTTCATGTTATCCCATATTGTTTACCTGGAACGTTAGCTTTTAGCTGAGGTAAAGTGATGCGAAAGATACAAATATTTACATTTGTTTCCGAGTCCCGTATGAGAAAATCACCGTCGTGCCCGTGCTGGTTTAGCAGCGCGTCGCAATGCGTGCGGGTAATGGCGCCGTAGTACCAGGCACGCGTGCCCAGCCCCCCCGACGTGCTCGTCGCCACGGCGCCCGCGCCGCTGCGAGCGCCACCTTCATTTGCTTCACTGCAATCGATTTTATATTACTTATTACTATATAGAATTATATAACAAAGGCTGAGAACAGAAAGAGTTAATGTTTTACTATGTAACAACAAAGAAAAAAATTTTAAAATAAATATGCAAAATTATCATGTATACAGAAATATAAAATTTTGGAAATATCTTCTTTTCTTTAGTTAGTGTAGTGTTTGTTGCATTGTAGAAGACACTGCTTCTCTGGAAGCATTTTATAACTTTTATCTCACTATGATCTCAGTGAAACTTGTTAAGGAACTGTCTCTGAGTATGTACAGTATGTATATCTATATACATTTAGATTTAGTTATATTTTTGTAGTAAATACTATTGTATTGATAGTCTATAAGTAAAGTTTTTATTTTAGTTTTTTTTATAATAAGGAACAGCTCGGTTTTGTTTCCCAAATAAATAATATAAAAATACAAAAGTAAAGAGGTTGTATTATGCCATACAAAAATTTTCTCAACTCCAACAATTACCTATAGGGCTGTGCAAGGTAATCCGCCAGTTCTTGCAAATAGTTCCTAGGCACAAGTCCCACGTGGCCGCGGGAATCTCTCGCCCGATACCACTCCGGGTCCGACGGTGGTCGTTCAATGATCTCTAAGCGGTCACCTTTCTCAAAGGACAACTCTTGTTCGTTATTAGACGTAAATGAGTACAACGCCACCTGACGGTATCACATAAAGGAAATGTATAGTAATATTAGGTGACTTTCATAATCGACGATTAATGTATTGACTTACAACAATATCTAAGACGTTTTCAGCCATAGCGTATGTGTGCACTGTGTCTTCACTGTCGCCTTCTTCGCTAGTGTAATTAGATGGAAACCTGAAACATAAATACAAATATAATTCAATACCACTACTGTCATTTTGTATATCCCTCTATGGGTCACGCACATATACATATCTACAACATTATAAAAGGGACAGACTTGTATGTATTTTATGTGTGTGTGTTTATTTGTAATGGATCACTTAATGAAGACAAAAATTACTGTTTTAACTTCAAAAAGTCTCACTGTTAGAAAGTACATGTGAATAATGTAGCCTACATTTATTGCTAAAAAAGATTGGATGTACTTAGTGTGAGTAGTAATCTTATAACAGTATTCAGGCCTTGTTTAACTTAAATAATAAATTAAGGTCTTACCACCCAGTATGCCCCTGATACTGCCCTCTCCACCAGCCATCATTACTCTTCTCTAATATGAGTATTCTTGTTCCTTTAGTGAGCGACAATTCATCGGGCTGCTGTGCCTGATAATTGTATTTCACAACCGCGGTGCCTAGAGCTTCAGTGGGCTCGACGCGACGACCACCCGGAGATTCTGCTCCTCCACCACAACCCCCACGAACTGGTGAGCCACTTGATGGTAAGGTCTTGGATCCAGATCCTTTCTTAACCTTTTTCTTGATGCTGGCAATAGTTTAATTATATCATTATTAATGTTTCTGTTGTTAATAAAAGATCCTTATGTGTGACACATAGAAACTCAAAATATCTGTTATGTATAGTTGTTATTTATTTATGCGTTTTCTAATATTATTATTTAAAGCCCACAAAAGGAGAGTCTTAATTCTTAAATATCTAGTGCTAATACTAACTAACAATTAATGGTTGGTAGCATTTGATAGTCGATCCTATTCAATTTAATTGAATTGTAATACTTCAATTGTAAATAATTAAAACAAAATATTCTTCATCAAATAATCCATATCTACAAATTACTGACTGATCAACTACTACTACTAGCTACAACTAGCTAAACTGCCGATTATGAGGGTGTCAAATTATTAGGCTGTATACAAATTTTTTTTATTGGATATAAAGATTTTCCAAAGTTTACTCCAAAATGATAAAAAGTATGATAACTAATTTAATTGAAAGCCTACCTGTCAAATAATGAAGGCTTCTCCTTCTTAACATAATTGCTTGGTACATATCCCGATTGGCTGCGAGCATTTTGCACGCGCCACCAGTGTTTCGAATCATCGAGGAGCAGGTAACGTTCGTTCTTGCGCAAATCCAGCTCCTGCGCACCTTGTGCGGCGTAATCGTACTTGGCAACTACGTAACATACGTCATCCTGAAATTTGAGGTGGAAGCTATCAAGTTTTGTACGTAAACAAAGATCTAAAATAAAAATTTGGGGGTGTTAGTAAGGGTACAGTAGTAAACAAGTTGAAAATGAATTGAAAAAAAATACATCACATGCTGGCACTGCTGCAATATAAAATTACATGACACTGTCATAAAAAAGTTTATGGGATATTTAAAAATAGCAAAGCAAATCTCATCTGTTCAATATGAAGTTGTTTTGATCTGATTTCATGGATGAGTAACACAAAATTATTATATGTTATTAGGTTCAAGCAAATACTCTGAATTTTCATATCAACAATAAGATTGTTTACAGATACTGTTAAGAAAACATATTGTACCATAGGGTACTGAGCAAAACTTATTTGTATGTTAAACTTTATATATTATTATTATTATTATTTTCTATCGGGGACACCCTTGGCAGGACGGGTGATCAGTCCACGTTGTCCGCTGACCATTTCACCCATTTCCTCCTTGCAGAGATTTGGGTCATCCAACTCTTCCCATGTCCCCTTCAAACCTTCCGGTTTGCTTGCAGAATCTTATTATTTTTTCCATCTGTAGTTCTTTAATGTCATCTACTGTAACTTCGTCCGAGCCCATATGCATTTGTCTTAGCCTCGAGTACGCAGAGCATTCAGTGAGTAGATGGATGCTTGTTTCCTCACTTTCTCTGCACTCCGGGCATAGGGGATCGCTACCTATTCCTATCATTGTAAGATGTCTGTTTAGACGGCAATGTCCTGTTATGATTTCTACGATGAGTCGGATGTTCGCTCTCGTTAATCTCATCAGGTTTTTGGTCTTCTTTTTATCTAGGCTATGTATGAACATTTTCGACTGTCTCATGCCAGTCGAAGATTTCCATCTTTGGTTTGTCTCTTCTATGATTCTGCGCTCGATTATTCCCTTGGTTACTTTATGGGTTATCGGAAGTCTCGGTTCCGGCCCAATCAAGCTTTCATCGGCTCCTTCGCGAGCGAGTTCGTCCGCTCTCTCATTGCCAATATTTCCTTGGTGTCCAGGGACCCAGGCAATTGCCACTTCTACCTGATCAGTTAGTTTGTGCAGTGCTTTCTTGCATTCTTTGACAATAGCAGATGTTGTCTCTTCTTTGCATAGCGCATTAAGTGCCGCCTGACTGTCACTGTAAATAGTAACACTTGACAGGGGTCTTAAGTGCCTGGCAGTCTCTGCACATTCCATGATGGCGAATAACTCCGCCTGGAATACGCTAACAAGTTTCCCCAGAGGGATTGATCTTGTTATCTCTGTTCCGTCCTCGCATCTCATATATATGCCTGACCCAGAGAGCTTTGTCCTTTCTTTCCTGGAACCATCTGTGTAGCACACCATGCCCACATTTTCCGAGTCTATTCTCCACTTCTGCCTTTCTCCAATGTGGATTCTGTATCTCTTGTCAAAAATCCTTTCCTTACGTATGAGATCATTGTTTGCAAGGATCATTGACATGTTCTTGTCATTTACATTACATTAAACTTTATATAAGTTACGTTTGTTTTTAGTGAAAATAATTTATCATAAAAGCAATCATGTCTCCATTACATGTAATTGCCACTATTGACTGCTCCAGCGGCTGAATTTTTAACTGTTTTACCTAAATATTAGGTTTCATCAAGCATGAGTCAGAAGTCTAGGGACAAACAGGATTTCATTTACATCACTTAAATATAAGTTCTAAATAAACATACATTCTGAATATCTTGTAATAACATCCATACATATTATCCAAGTAAAGGAAGTGCAGAAGGCTACAACTAGAGAGTTGAAAGGAAGGTGCAATTAAAATTAACTACAAGTTCATTATTGTGTAACTTATCACAAAAGATAGCCTCTAAGCTCCTCAATGTATAATTAAAAATATTTTGTATCCATATTAATATGAAAATCTATTTGCAGGGATATAATGAAAGTTAGATAACGAAAAACCCACCAAGAGGGAGTGGGGATATGGGTGAAATTGGAAACATAGTGTGTGGATTTGCAATAGACTTTTTGCAGACACAGGTCAATGTCCGCAAAAGACAGTAATAAATATATGAGTGACAAATCTCCTATATCCAGAGATGACTGATATACCTACTTCATAATTAAAAACAGTGGCAAGCACACTTTAAGTGCAAGTCCGTCTGGGTACATTTTTTTGGGAAAATAAGAAATTTATTCGGTCAGACAGGGTACAGAAGTCTGATTAACTTCTTATTTGGTAATAAAAATGTTAAAATAGAGTTTAATTATATGCAGAGTAATAACAATTAGATAAATTAAGGCTTACTCTGATGTATATCTAGTCTGTAGTATTGTAAGTTGTAACTTATTAATTTTGAAACTTACTTTAAAAACGAGTACTTAAGGATTTAGCTAGCTATATATCTGTTATTTGGAAATCTTTCATCCCAAAAAATAGTTTACCTGCGCACTTTTTCCGTGCCTAGAGTTAGCCATGGCGTGAGGCGCCGGCAGCGGCTTATTCGCCCACACCGAATCAGCGGTTCTAACAGATCTCGTCTCCAACATGACAACCAGTTACCGTAAATCGGCCACAGCCGTCTTCAGTGCTCCATTGCTAAAAGTCCAACCACCAACCACTGCACTGCGCTGCACTGCACCACTCTACACCATTCGTTATTTTTCACTATTAATATTGTGTTATGGTTTTGTAACACCACAAAAACCCACGATTGTTCAATATAGGACGTGCGAAAATCTAATCAAAAGCCATTTAGTACTCAACCAGACTGTAATCTCATAAGGCTGTCAGCAAAGACAAATTCTACTACGTATGATTAAGATATAGCTGTTGTATTAGATATAATGGATTTTATATCACACGTTATAACTTAAAATAGCACATCAATTATAAAATAAAATTATAATTTTCACATCAGTCGGTGGGTCAGCGACGAATCAATAGACAAAGGAAAGGAAGAAATTAGTATTGTTGATGGTTATCAGTAGACAAAATGCTACGACTAGCATAGAATAAAATACTATATAGATTATATTGTATAAAAAATAGCCATATTATTTTCACTTAATGCTTATTTTGTTTCATTTATGTACAATACAAGCCAACATTTAAGTTTATTTTTATTCAGCTAATTATGATCTCTGATCTAATCTTTTAATATTGAATTAAATATTCAAGCATACAAAGAAATAAAAAAGCACCACATTTAGGGTGATAGCTTCGAGCTGGTAACATAAGTTTAACCACAGAGAAAAAATTTAGTTGAAAATGTACGTTATAGTCTATACTTTGCCGATCTTTAATCGATTTATGAAATTACCATATTAATGCATTCATTGAACATGAAAGTTTTTTATTAACATTTTTGTAAATGATTTCATTCAAGGACTATAGAAATGCTACTATAATATTCGATATAAATAAAATATATATTTTGCCCTGTTTCTTCACTAACAATTTCATTTTAAATAAATGTCATATGCTGTGTGCATTATAAATAAAAACATCGAAATTTGTACTGATAAGCTGAATAGACAGACATCACTAGATATTCCAAATTTAATCGGCGAATGGACTTTGAATAATAATTGTTTATCAGGTTTTCTGTACATTTACGTTATAACAAAAGACGAAAATATTTATAAATATAGAAAGTTATAATTCCTGCGTCACTAAATTAATCCACTGTTTATTATCTGCAGAAATCTAGCAGGGAGTCGCTTTGTCAAAGTTCATTTCAGTATGGAATTGTAGAATTAGTAGCTTTACTGAACAGTTTTTGTTTGCACTACTTATAATAAAATATTAATGCGTAGATATTTAAATGATATATCTACACGTTTCTTAAAATGGTTATATATGTGACGGTATAGATGTATGTTTTAAAAGGAAAATCCACGTAAATATTCGCGCCTAGTTCGCGTTTACTGCGTTTGTGCCAGCTTGAGCGACCAATCAAAAGCCCGATCAATACAGTACTATTCCGAAGGTTTTCATAAAGATTTCGGCTCTGGTTGGCAATATTTTGTTAATAGCCACTAAGGTTCAATCTGAATAATGACGGTGTTTACTAAACCTATAGATATTTTAGAGAAACCAATCATACTTAATACGCCATACGTCCAAGATGGGAGTCGAAGCGAGGTAATAAATTATTATTGATTGATATCAAAATAAACATTTAACGGTTTAAAACGTGAAATTTATTATGGATGACCTCAGCTTTTCAGAAGCATTCGAAACGTAGTTAAAATAAATTGCCATTTTAAACCGTTAAAAGTGTTTTAATTAAATGTGCTACTCGCGTGAATTAGAGACTATACTTGATTTTTATATGTAGGCGTATTTTTATTTTTAATTTACAAATACGAGTAAATGCGGGTAAAATCAATTCTGTATCACTTTAATAATATTTTGTTGCCATATTCTTTTTTATGATATAAATTGTAATTATTAAGGTAAACTATTGCGCTTTCAATAAAAAAAAAATGTTTTTTTAAGTCACGAGTGGATATCCCGGGAGAAGAATATCTCCCAAACTCCACACAGTCAGTCAAGGGGCTGATGTATCTCTTGGTGTCTGTGGTCATGCTCCTGGCCTTAGGGGTGACATCCATTGTTGTAATGTTGAGGCAGTACAAGTCAGGGTTCAACAACTACCAGACAATTTGCCAGATTGCTGTGCCAAGGGATTTCTCTGAGGTATGTATAAATTAGTAGCGAGTACCACATATACCTTTATGATTATTATACAAATAATTCTAATTTAAGACGAACTGACTTAATTAATAACTTCCTCAAACAAGTCGATAAATCATAAAATCTCAAGCATGTGATAAGCTATAAAAATATACAGGTCTTTTGTTTAATTTTAAGTTTACGCGAGTTATAGGTATGCATTTGAATAAAACACTTTAACGGTTTTAAACGCGGGTTCCCCGTACCGCTACTAGGCATCCGAAACTTCGGGCCGTAGTTAGAATAATTTTCAAATAAGTTTAACTATCGCGTTTACTATATATATCGCGTTTTAAACGGTTAAAGTTGTTTATTTAAAAGTTGTTTGGTTAAAGAACCAAACGTTATATCGTGAATTTCTTATGTGCCCACACACAAGAGCGAAATGAATATGTAATAGAATAATGAGCGTCAATTGGAAGGAAGTGACGACTCACGGTCATATCAGTCAGGAAAATGTGTTGCAGGTAGCGTCAATAGCGGTACTTCACTTAGTCTAGGTATAGCCTAGTATTGATTGGATGCGCGATGCAGTGTTCCGAACGTCGTTATTCAAACTAAACTGCAGTTTCTGAATGCTTCCGAATTTATTCTGCTAGGGGCAGAGTGGCCTAATAACATAAAACATGATTAACTTAGGCGAAAATAAATTTGTAGTATTATTTGTTTAAGAAGTATGTTAACAATTTCCGTTGACTGTGCTAATGTTATTCGCATTATTAGACTATGAAAATATAAGTAACTTAAGTTATAAAATTGCAGTTAGGCTACTCTGCCTCTGTCGGGCCGAAGTTAAAAATCATTTTCAAATAAGTTTAACTAATATATCGCGTTTTAAACCGTTAAAGTCTTTCATTTAAATGTCTACTACTCGCGTAAACTATAGATAGCATTTAAATCAAAATTAGTTTGATTCCTTTCGGTATTTTAGATCGATTTTTATTGTTTAAAATATGTATTTATTAAACTTTTTTATTTATAAACACATAGGAATGGTTTACAAGAATAATAACTTATGATCTAGCGATCACGAACATCGATCTCTTCTAGGCAACCAGATGTTAAGGGAAAACAAAAAATAAAAGCACTATAGGTGGGTGGTCCTAGAGAGGAGCGTGAGAAAGGCAATTATGAGCTGGATAGATAAAATTTGAAAACTAACATTATAGAAGTATTTATGGGTTGAGTTATATGCTAGTGTTATATACGATAGCTCATAATAATAATATAGTAGGGATTATCGAAATGTTTTATTTGCAGACAGTTACGAAAAATACCTGGTTTTTGTTACTTGGCGTTTACTACCACCGTCCACAGATAAAAAAGCCGTGAAGATTAATCACGCTTCGGTTTCAAAGCCAAAATAGGTCGATAGCGCATCTTGTTTAGATGCTATAGATATTGCAGACTTACTTTATTAAATATGCAATTTTTGCAGAAGTTTTCAGAGGGCCACTATCGCCATCTGCCTATCACCTGGCTCCCAAATCCCATGCTGCAAGTGGTCAGCACTGTTGACGAACCCGAGAGCGATGATATCATGAACATGCTGAACGAGGAGTTGGATATCGGTGACACTGTGGAGAAGATCGTGGTCGTGGACAATGGCCGTCAAGTCAACTTCATTCATGATTTTAGCGACAACGTTACTGGTAATATTTCAATATTGTTATTATTTTTTATACCGTGTTTGAACGGATTTTTATGATGATTTATTTTTGTTGGAAAATAAAAATTTCTACTGACTTCAAAATTAAAATATTATTAATATGCATTTAACTACTATATATATATATAAATATATATATATATATATATATATATATTAAATACTTTTATAAAAATACGTATTGCTTTATGGAAAGTATTTCTTTAGATTAGTTTTTTTGTTAAAAATTATATTGTTACGTCAACTTGACAAGTTACATTGTTTGGGTAATTGAATCAGTAGAATTTAATTACGTGAAGATTTTCGTAAAATAAATGTCCGCATATAAACCTTTCAGGTATCGTAGATGATGAGCGTTGCTTTGTGATGGACCTCGAGCCTGACCTGGTGATGCCTCCAGAATTGTTCATGGCGGGGTTGACATCTGGCGACCAATTTGATATATCCAAGGTTCGTATTTTACTATACTACTAGCTTTAAATTGCTCGCTCTATGAATAAGTAAAGATAGGTTTTTTGTTATTTTAATAATTATGAAAAATTTTCAATTGGATTTCCATTTAAATGTAAGTTGAAAGAGTTCTGTGCTCGAACTTCGAAATAACATTGAAATACTCATTCGGTCCATACAGTAGACTAATTTAGCAGTAAATAATATCAAGAGGCGATCGTATAGGGACCAAATTAAAGTCTTAAAGCTGCTTATAAGACAGAAATATGCATTTATATAATCATTTAAATGAAGGTCACGTATGACGTCACGCGTTGGCACACTACGACAGAGATGCACAGACCGGGACCGGGGATGCAAAAATAATACTCAAATTAAACCTTTTTTAATTTTAATACATTATTTTCAATTCTTTGTTGTCTAATTACGTAGGTATAATTCTGACGGCCCGTCTGTGCATTTCTATTCTACGACAACATTGAAAATTTTTTCATCCTTTTGAATTAATTTTACACAAAAAAAAAAAAAAAAAAAAAAACGAGAAGAAAACATATTTAATAATTATAAAATTACACTTACCTTTTATAACCAATCGCATATTTATTCATAATTTGGTTCCCGGTGTAACATATTTGCCATGTTTTAAAGGATGTAATTTGTATTATATAAATTATATTTTATTCTAAAGGTGCGCACACATCTACGCGCGGCCCTGCCGGCGATTTTCGATCTGGCCAAGACTGCTCAAAAGATGGCTGAAACGTGCTTCGCAAGGCCTACCTATCGCCTGTATCGGGACGAGGATGATAGTAAGTGTGCTTATTAATGATAAGTTATAGAGGTTAATTGTTATATGTAACTAGCTGACCCGGCAAACGTTGTTTTGCCATATAAATAATTTAACTAAAATGCATATTAAAAAATAAGGGTTGATCGTAGAAAGGATGAAAATTGGGGATTGTATGTATTTTTGTATGTTGTATCAAAAAAAAATAGAAATTAACAATTTTGTCAAAAATTAAAAAAAAAATTTAGGGGTGGACTACCCCTAACATTTAGGGGGATGAAAAATAGATGTTGGCCTATTCTCAGACTAGAATACACATATTGAGTACATATTCAAATTTGGTCAAAATCGGTCAAGCCGTTTTGGAGGAGTTCGGCAAGTCGAACACCGTGACACGAGAATTTTATATATTAGATTTAATATTCAATTTAAATTAAATTAAATATTTATTAATTAGTTTATTATCTTACAATATGTATGGCGCAATTAGTACCTCTAGTCCCTCCCTACATTAATACAAGCCTGTGTTGAGGTAGTCTCAATATAGTAATTTTTGTGTCAATGCATGGTAAATTTTATTTTACACTTGACGCAATCTTCTATAACGAAGGCGTAAAATGTAGACAGTTAAGGAAGTTTTTATTAGTATTTTAACACTTAATTATACTCTAACGGTTTAAAACGGGAAATGTTTTAGTTTATTATATTTACTTTAAAAACGACCCGTTTATGTTTATTTTTTATTTATTTTAAATACGACCTGTGTCAACTGCTATATTTAGCAGTTTATACCGTTAAAAGTGTTTTAATTAAATATCTGTAGTATACTTGCGTAAACTATAGACAATTCATTTAATTATGACCTCAGGCCAGTCTTTACATCCACATAAGTGGGATATTAAAATTTGTGTTTCAGTTGAAAAACGATCAACGGACACAAAAGTCCACGACTACATCCAGTTTTCAGGCAAGCACGTGCAAGAAATCAAGATAGACAACATCGCTGAAATACTCAAGTACGAAGAGACACTCAACAAGAAGAAGAACTAACTTCACTTCTGAATTGTTAGGAAATACTTCTATTTTCTTTATTCCCTAATCGTCCTATAAAAATGTGTCGGGGTAAAACAACTATCAAAAATTATTGGACTAGACAATAATAAGGATCTGACTAAATACGAAAATGAGGTGAAACTTTAACGGGTTAAAACGGGATGTATAATTGCCATGCATTCCACGGTTGGTGAAACCTTTCGATTCAAAGATCCTAATATTGCGTAAATCTACTTTAAGAAATTGAATGACATAATTACATACATCATTAATAATTTCGCTAAGTAAATTTTTCTTAGAAACTATCGCAAAAATATTTTTCAAAAATACCCTCAATTTGATATTAACAATACTGACGTTTGAATAATTAGAATATGCAAAGCCATGAAAGTAAATATTCATGTCATCACTAAACTTTATTTCTAAGTTTAGCCTTTGTCAATATATTTCATACTTTACCAATCTCATATTATAATATTTGCGCCAGTGTTTGTCCAGCGCAATACTCCTGGTGAGGACTTGGTTTGCTTTAATTTAAATATACATGCAAGCAATGTACAGAAGCATATGAATAAAGTTTATCGCTGAACATCAAAAGCGATCGGTGTCAAAAGTCAAGCTTAGACTAACAAGCGGATTTTTCGGAGTGGTATTGGTCCTTGCTTACAGCCGGCACAAAAATATTCTATGCAAGTGTCCTACCCTCATTTATTATCATGCCAATAGCACTACTGACGCCAGTTAAAAGTAAAGCTTTTAAAAGTTAAATAGATATAATTAAAAATAGGAATGACAGATAAAGAAAATGTCACATTCGATATCACAAGAAATTTTATTATTGCACGATAATAATTAAAATGTTAAAACGATAATCATGTTAAATGTCAAAATTGACCTGTCAGTAGTTATCTTAAAATTAAGGTAATACTTCTTCTGTGTTAAAAGTGGACCCATAGTTAAATCCCAAATAGATATCTTACTAATATTTAGGGCGGGTTGTTTTAATATGACTGTAATGTACGTTGATTAACAATGGTTAATATAACGATAATCTGTGTGTTTAGTCTTATCTATGATTATAATAATTTAAACATCCGTTGCATTTGAATAACATGCTTTAACGGTTTAAAACATGATTTATATATAAATTAGTTAAACTTATTTGAAATTTCTTTAACGCCCCATTAGTACGGTTGTATTTACACGTATATACATCTCTGTATTAACATTGAATTTGAAGCTTTTTCTTTTCGTTTAAACTACTTAAAACAACTCACCCCTAGCTTAAGTGGAATTATTTGCATAACCAAAGGTGTAATAGCATATCTAATTAAAAATATAATATATAGATAAGCGTATATTAAAATGAAAATTAATTATTTGCACAAAACCAAAATGGTACTTGGTCGCCATTTTATTGATTATCTTTAGATTTAAGCAAGAATACTTTGATATCTTATATATTGCCTGTCTGGCAAAATGGAAATTAATCAACATTGCTTAATTTCAGAACATTTCCATCGTTCGTATTAACTATCTATTATATAAACTGTCGAGCTCTATGTGATTTTTAGACTGGGCTGTTAGACCGGCGCGGGCGCCTAGAATTGTTTTCTACAGATCCCGTTTCACAGCCTGAAAAAACTGTATAATTCTCGTAGACGAATATTGGATATCAAATAAATATTTTGAGGACAAATTAATAAGGTTAATTCGCCACGCTTTTTATACTGTGATTATTTTAAAGAATTGTTTAGATTTAGTTATCATTTAGGATAATAAAAATAAGTGATTCAATGTCTCATCGTTGTTTTATTTAATGTGGCTTAAAAAAATATTGCCAGGATGAAAAATTACTTTACCTTGAATATAGTTTATATTAGTACAAATTATTATATTACAGAAACGGTATCTTGAACTTTTTTAATCAAAATAAAACCAAAGTAACGGTTTAAAGAATGTCTCGGACAGGACCTACGGTTCGACAAATATCACCTGTAAACCCAGACTGGCGTAGCGTGGAAGTTCTTAAATACTCTTACTATGTGGGAGGAGATCTGTTCCCAGAAATGGGACAATAATATGTAACGGCGGGCATTAATACTAAAATACGACGAGTATTTTACCACCCGTTCGATAAAAACATGGATCAATACCATACCATGTATCTTTACGTTGTCCGGTATATGCGGTTTCTTATCTGCATAATATAAGATATCGTACATTGTAAAGTCCACGCGCCTCACTAGATGGCGTTGATCAACGTCAGGTTTTTATTTTCTTATTTTAAAATAATTTTGGACGAAATGTAATAGACCGTTTCTCACATTTTCCGTGATTTGACCAACTGGTAAAAAATATTTTCTCTTCAAGCACCAAAATGATATAAAATTATGCATCTCCCCTTTGGTTATGAAGATATATTTGTATGTAGGATATATTTTCATAATAACATTTTCTTAAAAAGTTCATCTATTTTGTCATATCGGAATTTAAACCCCAATGTAAGTTAGCGTTTTATACTGCAGTTGTTTTGTTATAGTTATAATATAGATTTTGAACCCTCAGTGGCCGTCTAAGTGCCATAACTTCGATTATGTAAACGACATAGAAAAATTACTTCCATGTTATGTCTAAGAAAAATTGTCACCTAGAACGTATTTTTTATCAAATAAGTCTCATTTTTATGTAACAATTAATACTTTTAAACCTTTGCTACCTGGCAACCGACTCAGGAAACTTCCGAAATTTAAACATCAATTTTCTTGACTCGCAACATTGTGGAAAATATATTATTCGAAATTCGAATATTCAGAGGGAAATATCAAAGAATATTCATTCATGCAGTAACAATGCTGCCAACATGCATTCACTCATGCAGCAACAATGCTGCCAACATTCATGCTCGTCAGATCGCACGCTTTCTGCAAAATTCATATTATGGAGCCGAGGAGAAAGACCGTACCTAGTGGGTATTCAAAAATTGTAAGTGTAGCGGATGTGTATGTATTTATTTCTGTTCATTAGTATTCTGCAAATTTACATAAGCAATGATCATTGTAAACTCAATGGATACCATATATTATAATAGTAATGTGAATTAAAAATGTATTTTAGATTGTAGAGATTTTAATGTCACAAGGCGGACTTGACCCCGCATCCACAGCGTTCCGTGCTGTTGCTGTTACCAATTGAGCTACCGTGTCCTACACGTCATCGAATTTTTCCAATCTATTTATGGTTGCGCCTGTCGCGCAATTAAGCATTATAATGTGTCTTTCTTTTTTTCTTACCTTTAAAAGATACAATAAACTACTTAGAAAGAATAACACAACTATGGCCCAGATCCTAATAAAACTTTTCTACCTAGAAATATATTAAGCATAAGTTTTTATATTTTAAAGAAAGATTCGAGGTCTGTTTGAAAATTTTATAAGTTAACGATCTCGTTAATTAACTGTTTCCAAATATTTTGTTAAGCAAACGCTGCAAAATATTTAAAAAGGAGCGTCTATTTTCACCGTAAGTGTTTAAAGAATTTTCACTTCAAACAAAACAACTTCAGAAGTTATCACGCTCCTAGGACCACTCCGCATAGCGTTGTCTGAAAACTTTATAATTTAGTGAAAAGTACGGGTAAATTATTCAAAACCACGTCGAATGCAACAAGAATACCTGTGACAGCCATTCAATTGAAATTTTTATCACGAACTGCGAGACGACTCTTCGAAATATTTATGTAATTCGTTTTTCATTTCGAATTTAATTAATGGCATGTTTTTGCATTTCAAGATTTCACTTTTGAATTTCTACTTTAAATATTTAAAAGTTAGACTACTTGTGCAAGCGACTTCGTCCTCGTAGGGTAGGCAGTAAAAAACTTTACTTACATCAAAATTTGTTTTCCAAAGGTTGCAATCCTACTGCCTATTTCATAGCCTTGCTCGATAAATATTATGCCTTAAAGAATGATGTATGGTAACCATATAATAAAATTAATATATTATACATAATAATGTTTTGTAAAGACAGTATAAGTGAGAACGAACAAACAAACTCTTCAGTTTTATCATATTAGTATAGATTCTATTTTAGCGTCTCCTGGATCCACCCAACAACTAAGATTATTTAATCGACAAGCTTAAATTTAAAGCTAGTTAACAAAAAATCTAGCTAATAAAATATTTGGCTTTAAAAAATATTTGAATGAAAAATGGCGGAACGAGCTGTTAGGTGACAAAAATTCGTAATTTATCTTCGTCTGATTTGCAGGACTCGACATAATATCTGTAAAATATTCCGCGAACAATTTCGTCAAGCAATTTGTAATCACAACATCTCGCTTGCCATACGAAAAGAGCCAAGTCAACAACTTATTAAGAAACGTTAAACAACCCCAGAATTTTCCAAGCAAGGGTCTGCAAGTTAGATTAAAATAGTTGGAAACTTACTTGTTAAAGCTTATATGACATGCGTATCAAGTTGCTACTGTGTTAGTTTTGTCATTTATTTAGTTATGAAGTAAAACTTACTTTTAGAATTCATCACACTTTTTAATGAAACCGCTGTCATGAAACGGGTTGTATAAACCAGAAAATTTTAGTTAATATCCAAAGGCGATAGTTTTCATATGTTTTTGCCCTAGTCAATTATAAAAGGTAATAACTGTAATTTATCAAACTATTTATCTCTACGTTCATGCCTCATTCAAATTATAAAAGTTATCATCAGCACTGCTTGTCTAGCAACTAGCAACATTAATAATTTCAGTCGTATAAGGTGCAGAAGTTAACTCAATACATATCTATACTAATATATAAAGCTGAAGAGTTTGTTTGTTTGAACGCGCTAATCTCAAGAACTACTAGTGTTGGATAAAGCATTTATCGAGGAGAGCTATAGGCTATAAAACATCGCGCTATGACTAATAAGAGCGAAGAAATAGCGGGAAATGTGGAGAAAACAGGAAAAATGTTTCATCGTTGCGCACGCTGCAA